ACAATACACAAATAGCTCATGCAGCTCAATGTCAAAAAGAAAAAACCCACCACAATCAAAAAATGTGCAGAAGCCCTAAATAGACAGTTCTCTAAAGAAGACATACAGATGGCCAAAAAGCACATGGAAAGATCCTCAACATCACTAATTATTAGAGGAATGCAAATCAAAACTACAACGAGGTATCATCTCACACCGGTCAGAATGGCCATCATCAAAAAGTCTACAAACAATAAATGCTGGAGAGGGTGTGGAGAAAAGATAACCCTCCTACACTGTTGGTGGGAATGTAAATTGGTACAATTACTATGGAGAACAGTATGGAGTGTTCCTTAAAAAACTAAAAATAGAACTAACATATGACCCAGCAATCCCACATCCTAGGCATATATCCAGAGAGAACCATAACTCGAAAAGATACATGCACCCCAATGTTCATTGCAGCACTGTTTACAATTCCCAGGACATGGAAACAACCAATATATCTATCAACAGATGAATGAATAAAGATGTGATGTGTATACACACACACACACACACACACACTGGAATACCACTCAGACACAATAAAGAATGAAATAATGCCATTTGCAGCAACATGGATGGACCTAGAGAGGATCAAGTAAGTCAGACAGAGAAAGACAAATATCATATGATATCACTTCTATGTGGAATCTAAAAAGATGATACAAATGAACTTATTTACAAAACAGAAACAGACTCACAGACTTCAAAAACAAACATGGTTACCAAAGGGGAAAGGTCTAGGAGAGGGATAAATTAGGAGTTTGGGATTAACATATGCACACTACTATATATAAAATAGGTAATCAACAAGGACCTATTATATAGTACAGGGAACTCTACTCAATGTTCTATAATAACCTATATGGGAAAAGAACCTAAAAAAGAATTGATACATGTATACGTATAACCGAACCACTTCACTACACACCCGAAGCTAACACAACACTGTAAATCAACTATACTCCAATATAAAATAAAAGTTAAATTTAAAACAATAAAAAAAAAATCTTCATTTAAAAAAATCAACTAATTTTGTTATTTATCATTATCTAATATTATTTTTATAATTTCACTAATATAATCTCAAATGATAATTCTTTTAAACAGATACATATATAGTCATATACACAATGGGCAATAATTTCTAGAGTCATAAAAGTGTTGATGCAAAGTCCTCAACAACTTCATACACATTCTAAAAGCAGTCACATATCAAATAAAAGCATACGTTAGACTGTGCAATAACTGCCAAAGACTTATTTTAAGCAAATCATACTTCAAGAGTCATATGCTTTCAACCTAGAAAAAGTTGCAAAATTGGAAACAATGCTTCTAACACTCTGAGGCTCAGTCTCTGAAAAACTGTCTTTGCTGTTTTGAACCTGCTTTTGGAAGGCAAAGGGCATAAAAATATATAAAGGGTTATCAGGAAGTTATTTCATATAAGAACACTAAATGCTCAGCATGTATAACCAGCAAATTTAAGAAATCAGTTTGGTCATTAGGAAAATACAAATTAAAGCCACAATGAGATACTACTTAACATCGACTAAAATGGCTATAATAAAAAAGACATTAACAATTATCAATGAGAATACTGAGAAATCGGAACCTTCACACTCTGCTGGTTAGAATGTAAAAAGGTGCAACAGCTCTGGAAAACAGCTTGCAATTTCTTAAAGCAATAAACATAAACTTGTCATACAACCCAGTGGTTCCACTTCTAGGAATCTACCCAAGAGAAATGAAAACATCTGCCCACACAAAGCCTGGTACGTGGACATTCATAGCAGCATTGTCCATAACAAGCAAACATGGCAAACCCAAATGTCCGCCATGTAATGCTATTCAGCAATAAAAAGGAAAAAAAATACTAATACATCCTGCAATATGGATAAACCTCAAAAACATACAAAGTAAAAGAAGCCAGAAGCAAAAGACTATGTAGTGTATCATTCATTTACATAAAATATCCAGAAAAAGCAGCAAAATAAATTTCTAACTACATCACCGTTTATTGAGCACGGGTATATTCCAGTACTTTATATCTTAAGGGAAAAACTTACTGGCAACTTCAACATCAATGACTATCACCTTGTCTTATATTTCCAAATTTTACTTGATACAGTTTCAACCAAAGAAATATATTAGGTGTGACACTCAACAGTGCTCAGGATTTGTCTAGTTTATATGCAGTTACATGCATTGTTAATCTCTCTCCTGCTGCTTTACTTGGTCCATTTTAATTCTCAATATCCCCATTCAAAATGAGAAAGGGAGGAGAACATAATTGTCAAACTCTGTAATACAGCAATTAATGGTGATAAAAGCTTAAATAACAAAATACTTTTTAAAAATGTGTACTTCAGTGATCCATGGAACCAGGAGCTGGCTATAAAAAACAAGATTCATTCTAATTTCTCCCAACTCCCTTAAGAAAAAGATACTTTGTCCCAGGGACTCAAGAAGTTAAGAGTTAATATACAGTAGGCTTCTAAGAGCATATGTGTTTGCAAAAGTTTGTTTTCTTCTAAACTCTAAATTCGTTTTGACAATAGGATGACAATTTGTTTTTAGTGTAGTATCCAGGCCCTTTCTGGTAAGTGATTAAAGACCTCAAACTATAACCGAGGGGCTTCCCTGGTGGTGTAGTGGTTAAGAATCCGCCTGCCAATGCAGGGGACACGGGTTCATTGTGGTGGCTTCTCTTGTTGCGGAGCACGGGCTCTAGGCGCACGGGCTTCAGTAGCTGTGACATGCGGGCTTCTGTAGTTGTGGATCGCAGGCTCAGTAGTTGTGGCTCGTGGGCTCCAGAGCGCAGGCTCAGTAGTTGTGGCGCGCGGGCTTAGGTGCTCCATGGCATGTGGGATCTTCCCAGACCAGGGCTCGAATCCGTGTCCCCTGCATTGGCAGGCGATTCTTAACCACTGCGCCACCAGGGAAGCCCCTGTATCAGCCTTAACTGCAAAACTGATGAAGACCTGTTACCCAGAGGTGTAATGACATGCTTTAATCCTGTACATGAGTCCTGTATAAGGTACGTTAACACATACCCATAGAAGTATGTAACTCATAAGTAAATAGACACTTATTGGGTTATGCATTCAACATTTTATCACTGGTAAGATGTACAATCAAAAAGGAGTGGAAACCAGTGTCCTAAGGACTGGACTGGCTAGGGTTACTATTCTGTCCCAATAGAGTTAAGTAGTCCCACTTTTCTGTTACTCTGTGGTAACTTTGTTCTGAATGAAGCAGCTGAGATACTTTACAGAAAGAATTACTGTTACCAAGAGCAAACCTTTAAGTCCTTTACAGTTTATTAAGCTTTCACATATGCTCTTATCTGATGCCCACGGCCACTTAATATCATTACTAGTTGATCCAATAGTATCCAGTAACAGTTTCTTGGAAGCATTCATAAACAATAGCTGTGTTTATTAGTATAAACAAACATTAGCTCTGAAGCTAATGAGAGGAGAAATATTTTAAAGACTTAAACATTAAACTAAGTCAACTGAGGCACAAAAGAATATGTTTTAGAAGAGTTAACCCTCCACAAAAATCTGGGAAACCACTCATCAGGAATTATTATTCAGGGGCTTCCCTGGTAGCACAGTGGTTAAGAATCCGCCTGCCAATGCAGGGGACACGGGTTCGAGCCCTGGTCCGGGAAGAGCTCACATGCCGCAGAGCAACTAAGCCCGTGCGCCACAACTACTGAGCCTGCGCTCTAGAGCCCGTGAGCCACAACTACTGAAGCCCACGTGCCACAACTACTGAAGCCCGTGCACCTACAGCCCGTGCTCCACAACGAGAAGCCTCTGCATTGCAAGGAAGAGTAGCCCCCGTTCTCCACAACTAGAGAAAGCCCATATGCAGCAATGAAGACCCAACGCAGCCAATAAATAAATGAATGAATGAATAAATAAATAAATAAATAAGAATTATTATTCAAAAGGACAGACACTCTCTCTTCCCCTGCCAGCCCCTAGCACCTTCAATTCTTTATTTTTTAAAGACAAGCTTAGGGTATTCCCAGCCTACACTAAGGAATGACTGCCCATCATCTGACTACCAGGGAGGTTAGGTTAAAGGCTCTCCAATTATTCAGCTGGAGAAAATTAAGGGTAGATTTAACAACTGACTCTAGATGTAGAGTTCCAGTGTATGGAGGAGAGCAACCAGGTGTTTCACCAAAATTAAAAGAGGACATGAGTTTAAGCTGCCTACTGATAAAATTACTATAGAAAAGCCATGAAAATTTTTCTGACAGTGAAAATTTAGAAGTAAAATGCTTAAGGACCTTTATTAAAAGGGATTTTTTTGTAAACAGGATAATTTCCTATTAAATAAGGTCATTTAAGTATACCGAGAATGCCTGTTAGACATCAGTAATTTGACTTCAGTTCTTCAGACGTATATATGTATATGCTAGCACCACTATCAGTAAATTAATGATTATTTACCTTAAGCCTAAAGAAGCCCATTTTTTATTGAATTGAGGTGCTGATAATGGTACGTTGTTGGAATTAATAATTCCATGGTAGACAGCAGCAGGTATTACATCAGAAGTGTCAAAGCAATAGAGGAAATCTAACTTGATGGCCACACATCTGTCTAGCAAGTCCTTTACTTTTTCTAGGTTAAAGACATACGCTAACCTGTGCAACTGGTTTAAGTGCCACGGCAACAGGTACATTTACAAACGATAAATTAAATAAAACCCTGGCTGCCTCAGAAACAGTAAGTCACAAGTTAACATTTAAAAGTCCAAATAAAAGACAGCCATTTCCCCACTTTTGTTACAGATCTGACAATTGTTTAAAAGAGCTCAGGAAATCTGAATGTATTAGAACTATAAGAACCAAGAATGACTGAGACATAAATTCTGGAATAAGTCCTATTTTAAAGCTTTTGCTATATCAACACTTTGAAAGGAGCAGTCAAGGAAGGTTTAATTCTAACATTACCATTGGAGCGGACGGTGGATTTGATGACTGCCCTTCACTGTTCCCTGGATGCTGGGTTAACCCATTAGGACTGGAAGGCTGTGCTGTAGGAAGCTGGGTGCTGGCTGCAAGTTGCTGAGATAATTCTGCTTTGTGGCTCTTATCTGATCCATCCAATCTGCTACTTCTCTCTATGGCAATCAGGTCACGAATTTTTTGCAGCTGCTCCACTGAAGCTTTTTTAGGAAAGATAAGATGGGTTTCTCCCTGGAATTTACAAAATTAGGGAAAATTTGAACCTTTGCTTTATACTGACAGTCATTCGTACACAGTATATATAAAATGGAGCCAATACTACAGAACACATCATATTTTAACAATCTTTCTCTTTTCTTACCATTTTGGCACTTTTTAAAAAAATACAGGCAAAGGTATACTAGAAAATTAAGAAAATATGTCTCCTTGTTAGCATAAAATGTTTAGCCTGTTTTATTCATTCAAAAGACCTTCAGAAAAATACTTTGCCTTTTAGAAACACTGTAATGAGTCAGAAAGCCTCCTAAGAGATGCAAAAATGAACATTCCTATCTCCTCTGCAATAGTATATGATACAACTATTCTCCATGAAATTCCCTATGAAATAATGATACTATAGATACAGCCATTCAAAATGATCACTGGTCACATAAAACCAGTAAGAAGTTATATAACAACCTTTGAATCTTCTAAACTCAAGTCTTTAAGAATAGCTACATGACTAGAAGTCTGTGTATGGAGTTCACTAATTCTTCCAAGATAACAAAAATTACATCCTGAGGGTCAATTCAAAACTATGGAAAAACTATTGCTATTTAGTAATACAAAGGTGGTCCAAACAAAAACAGACCATCAAACAATAAAAATCTGATTCTTTAAGAAGTGATTCATTTAATGAATCCACATAATATAATCAGAGCGCTCTGAGGTACAGTAAACATTACAACAAAGCTCACAATGTAAAATAGTAAATTACAAAACAAAAAAGTGAAATGAAAATATATTCCATCAAGGTTTAAGGGTTGAGAAGCAACAATGCTAAAACAGTAATTCCACCAACTGCAAATGAGATAACACAGTTGTTACAATATGCAGTGGGCCAACCTGTAGATTGTGAGCATTTAAATTCAACTCCACAACTGAGAATGACCTTATTTCCCTGGTGATGGCAGATCTACAGGAATCAACGGACCAAGACATTACTCCATCACGACATGAAAATCAATTCCACGTGAATCCTTTTGAAAAAGCTGGAAGAGGCCAGCAATCTCCATGTATTACCCAAAACAGCTGTAAAAAAGACTACTACCATTTACTGCATTTATGTGTTTCTAGGTACTGTGCTAAAAAGCACTTTACCCACATTATCTGAAGAATTCTTAACAACCACCTTGAAAGGTAGGTATTGGGTTTATCCCCGCTTTTCATATGGAAATATGAAGGCTCAGAGAAGTTAAATAACCTACCTGCCTGACGCTACCAATCGTCAGAGCAAGGATTCAAACTGCATGATCTTAATCGCTATGCTATAACTGATTCCACCTGAGACTGAACAGAGATCAAAACCCACAAGCCTGTACAAATAGCTTGAAGGGTTGAGCAAAAAGCATTTCTACAGTTGTGATGATTACATACACGATGATTGGCACAAATTGGAACGCAGTGAATTTTCCAACAGGAGAAAGGAACCACTTCCTATCTACGATGAGCTCTGGGAAGAGAAACCAGACTCCTGGGTTAAAACCAAGCATGGAGGCCTCTGATCTCACACTCTGAATGGAGTGGCACTGAGGAAGGTACACGACACCGTGGCCGGAGGCAGGAGAGCCTGACAGCCACGTGGGTCTGTCTGGTCCACACCCCAGAGAGGGCCCCGGTGAGACAGAGGCTGCTCCCTTCCCTTCCATCTTTTCAGGACCAGTCCTAAAAGAATGTATGATTATGACTGAAGTGTCTGTACGAAAAAGTTTAATCGACAGCACTGTATTTTCATAAAAGGACAAAACTACAGGCTTAATGCACTAGACCCAATAACACTTTAAGAAACCAACGAGGATTCTAGTATTTAACAAAATCTATGTTTCTCAACGCATTCTTGGTGAGACAGTTCTCACTGCCAGATGTGAGTCAACCCCGTCCCTGCTCGCTAAATGCTGGTGACATCTTCCAGTCACCAAGACAACCAAAACTATGGTCCTTGATGCCCCATCCTCCCCGAGGGTGGGGGCAGCTCCCAGCAAGAACTACTCCACTAAGCCAGCCTGACGGGTCACACGACCATTTGAATCCCAATCTTTCTCAACCTCCTCCTCAGAATTTTCATAAACAAGAATGCAGCCTCAGGGACAAGTGGGCACAAAGGTGTCCAGGATTTTAATGTGTAACTGAAAATTTCAGGATAGGTCTTGGATTCCTACTTCATCTCAAAGCCCACCAAGTTTCTTTCTGGTGGTAGAGTTCAGTCTCAACTCCGTTGGCTAACACTGATAAAACATTTACTTCCTACCATGTGAAGTCCAAAGCCAGCCAGAAACTCTAAGTATAAATTAGTCTTAAAGCATGATCATCGTTTCTGAAATTGTGACTCTACTTGCATCAAATACTACTGCAAGTCTCAATCTGGCTTGTTACCTGGCACTGGCGTGACCAACTTACAAGTTTGCCTGGGACTGAGGGGTTTTCTGCGGGGCTGGACTTTCACTGCTAAAACCAGGACAGTCCCTGGCAAACTAGAGCGGTTGGTCATCCCTCCTGGCACTCAAGTATTTGCTGAATGAAAGATAAATATGATTCCACCGAATCTGTGACACTTCAACAATGAGAAACAATGAGAAACTGAAACACTTCAACAGTCTCCAGTTGTCATTTACTTAATTTTCCTGTCATTTGACTCTCAAAAATCTGCATTTCCTTGAACAAATTCATCAATGTTCTCAACTTTCCCCATCTATAGTTTTAAATTCTTTAGGTTCAGATGTCTGTGCGCAACTACAAGCAGATGACACCATGATTTATACCTCCACCCTGGCCTCTCCTTTTGAATCATCAAAGACTCATATATCCAACTCTCTCCTTGACACCTCTACTTGAATATTTAACAGTATATCAGTTATAATTATCCAAAAGACGGGTCGTTTTTTCTCCCCTGATACCTGCTACTCTCCAAGATTTTTCAACCTCGATGAATAGTACTCCCATCCACTCAGTTGCTCAAACCAAAACCCAGACGTCACCCTGATTCCTTCCTTTCCCTTACATTCCACATCTAGTTCATCAGCAAGTCCCACAGACTGCTTCAAAAAGAAATCCTGGATCCCACTACTCCCCCATCTCCACTGCCGTCGGTCTTTACTTCCACAAATATTTACTGGGTGCCCACCTGCTCTGCTCCTTTCCCAGCAGCCAGCACACGGGGAGCAACACAGACACAAAGCCTGCCCTCATGGAATCTAGACAAACCACTACCATTTCTCATTGAGACTAACGTGACAAGCTTTACAACCGGCCTCCCTGCTTTACCCCTTGCCCCCATCCAGAACATCCAGGATATTCTCTTTCCAACAGCCAGAGCAATCTTCAAAAATACTCTTCCCTGCTTAAAACCTTTCAATGGCTTCCCATCCCACTGGTCATGAAGTCCAATCTTTACCGCAGTTCCCCAAACCCCAGGCCTGCCTCTGTGGCCACTTTCTGTGCCAAGGCTACTCCTGCTAGAGATCCTCCACACGTGTGGCTCTTTGTGCCTGAAAAACGCTCACCTGAGGGCGTCAGGTATTTGAATTGCTTCTCATCACTCAGGTCCCAGCTCAAACATGATCTCCTCAGGGGCCTCCCCTGAGCGCTCATCCTTACACAGCTGCCCATCACTACAGTTGCTTATGATGTTCTTTCCATGCCTTATTTTCTTCTTTGTGCTCATCTTTGCTTTCACACCTACTGTCTGTCTAACCTACAGGAATGCAAGCCCCATGTGAGATGGGAGCTCTTATCTAACTAGTTCACCACTATATTCCCAAGGCCTGAAACAGAATCGGGGAGGGAAGCAGAGAGGCGGGGAGGAAAGTACATCCCAGAGCAACTCAGCGTATCTCCTTAACAGCTGCTACGGTCTTGCCAGTTGACTGCTACTGACTGCTTGGCCTCTAGAACCTGGCTGGACTTCTCTCAGTATTCCATAAACTAGAAATGGTTAAGCATATATGCATAAAGAAAACTTATCATCTTGAAAGCTACTTTCATTGTGTCATAAAATTAAACTATGCCACAAGATTCCACAACATGGAAACACCAAGCTTTTCTTTTGACCTAAAAACAAAAAAAACCCCACTGAGATTCTTTTCTCCTGTCACAGAAGGGAACCCTTATGCGTGGCAACTAAACTCAACTTTTCTGTTTTTACTCTTCTCATTTCTTACTGGAGACAGGTGGTTGGACCCCCATCAGCAATTCATGTTTGCTCACATAGCAGGTTTTTGCTAAAAGTCTAAAGAGAACCACAATTTAGTCCTTGGGTTGCATGCCTGACCTCCCTATTCTAAAGGACTGAGATTGTAAGAATTCTCCCTGTGGGAGAGTTGTTATATTTTACTGTGAATTTAAAGCATATGGACTGTGACTTTTCAATGTAGAGTAAGTGAAGAAATGACTAGTTCCACAGTTTTCCAAAATGAATCAATCAATAAAAATATTCTTATTAGAAATTATCTATCAACATTATAATGAATGCTCTGTACATGAACTGTGGAGAAGAAACCGTGAACATACTTACCTCTTCAAAGCCCATTTCAAATAAACATTCAACAGCTCCTCTGACAGGCAAGAGTCTAGTAGAAAAAGTTGTGTTTCCAATCCGGATAGATCTATATTTTTCATCATTAGGGTTTCTGATTAAAAAAAAAAAAAGTCTGATTTTATATATAACAATTTACATTTTTCACCATGTTTTTGCATTCTTTTTCACATTTTATACTGGCTATACGCCTACGAGGTAGTAGAGATCCCAGCTTTAAAGAAAGAGGATGCACAGTCTAGAAAGACAGACTGATTTTGTGATTCTTACCTTGTACACACTTACTGCAACGTTACTGTTTAACTTCACAGCTGATAATATCAATGCTGACGTAAGGGAAACCCATGCGACATTCTATTTCTGTGCTGTTAAAACTAGAGACCTTTATGAGTGTTTAAGTTGCTAAGAAAAAATTCCATGCAAGTTCCAGACAGGGGCAGAAAGTTTTGCCTGTTTTCTTCTGATGGATCTCAGTCATCGAGAATAGCGCCTGATGGACATGTAGATGGTGGTTAATAAATATTTGTGAAACGAATGAATAAAAGAAGCTAAGAAGCTATAGACAAATGAATCACAGCTCCTCAAAGACTTTACTTCTGACAAACACGAACCTAGGTATACCTTTACGGTCGCTTGATTTTTATTTCTTCCCTAGACCAATGGTTGTTTTTACTATAATTTCTGTTTCAGCTGAAGATATATTTTTGTCACAGCAACTATGGTAATAAAATACAGTGAACATATGAATTTCTTTTACCATGATTAAGATTTTGAATAGTACACATGAGATGAGACCAGCACATGAAAAATCTTTGATTTGAGATTTGTAATAACGTTGATAAATCAGAAAGGCTGTAAAAAAAAAATCAGAAAGAAAATAAAAGGTTAAAGACAATCCAGGTATTATACTCAAAAGGCCTTCTGAACTTAATTCAGGATGATAAGTAGGTTTCATATCTGATACTGACGCCCTTAAAATGGTAGTGGCTTCCATCAGTATGGCATTAAGAAAGACTGAGGCTGTCTCAGGGGTCCACAGAAGCAGTGCTGAGGCTATCAGCCTGGGGTCTGGGATGATGGGGTGGCCAAGTGCTGGCAAATGACCGAACACCTTTGCCCTAAACTTACACATGTTCTCTAGATATGGTGATATAAAAACCAAAACAGAGATTGTTAACTGTAGAAGTTTCAACAAATTTCACATTTGTTTTCCATCAAGCAGTTCCTGTTGCCAAACTGCCATAAATACTACACAAAACTTTTTTAAACCTCTTTTAATTTCAAAAATTACACCAGTTTATTACAGAATATTCAGAGACAAAAGCTCCAAAGTAGTGTTACTTAAAATGTCCAGATTGGTGCTGATCTGTAAACACTTTGCTTTTCATCCATGAGGAGTACAGAAATTGAAGGTATTCAGTAATTATTACAGCAATTTGACACTGCCATGAAATTTTCATTGCATTTTACAAAAGTTATAGGTCCACAAAGGATTGGAAATTAAAAATACTGTTCTTTACTGCAGGTCATTTGAAAATCACAGATAACTGAGAAACACAAAGAGATACAGATGCCTTACTCTTTTATTCTGTGTATCAGATCAGGGTTTCTAAACCTTGGCGATACTGACCTTTGGCCTTTGCTGTGAGGGCTGCCCTGGGCACAGTAAAATGTTTACATCCCTGGCTTCTATACCACACTACATCATAAGCATGCCGCTCTTTCTTACCACTTAAACATTAAACAGTGAACAACCCTACCTTTACCAAAGCTAGTTACAGGTAAATGAGGCATCTTTTCACGACACTCAACGCATTCCACAGGGTGATAAACAATCAGTACCACCAGGATGGTGTATCCCACTGGTGCAGAACTGCTTGAGCTATCTTAGTCTATTTTTTCCCAAGAGTTTCCAGATTTCTACATAATCAAAATCTTTCACTGGGCTTAATTTTCTAATTTTTCTTCCCTTTTTCACACTAAAAAATTCTTATAAAACTTACATGAGCTGTTCTGATATAGCTTATTATTTTGAGACATGTTTCAAAGGGTCGAAGCAGCTTCTCTGCTACAGGCTTTGTATAGCTTAGATTTTCCTCTCTAGTTTCTAACGAACAATGTTCTATCTTTGTACAACATCTGTGGACCTCACATATCATTTATGTGTTTTTCTCACTCAACGTATATTGCAAATAAAAATTTGAAAAATGGCAATAACATCCAGGTACCCAAATCCCAGCTTCCTCTTTTTAAAGGTGCTGAGCAAAACTTCCCTGGTGGCGCAGTGGTTAAGAATCCACCTGCCAAAGCAGGGGACATGGGTTCGAGCCCTGGTCCGGGAGGATCCCACATGCCGCGGAGCAACTGGGCCCGTGAGCCACAACTACTAAGCCTGCGCGTCTGGAGCCTGTGCTCCGCAACAAGAGGCCGCGACAGTGAGAGGCCTGCGCACCGCGATGAAGAGTGGCCCCCGCTTGCCACAACTAGAGAAAGCCCTCGCACAGAAACGAAGACCCAACACAGACAAAAATAAATAAATTTATTAAAAAAATTTTTTGAAAAATGGCAATAACATCCAGGTACCCAAATCCTAGCTTCCTCTTTTTAAATGTGCTGAGCAGGACTTCCCTGGGGGCGCAGTGGTTAAGAATCCCCCTGCCAATGCAGGGGACACGGGTTCGAGCCCTGGTCCGGGAAGATCCCACACGCTGCAGAGCAACTAAGCCCGTGCGCCACAACTACTGAGCCTGCGCTCCAGAGCCCACGAGCCACAACTACTGAGTCCATGTGCCACAACTACTGAAGCCCGCGTGCCTAGAGCCCGTGCTCCGCAACAAGAGAAGCCGCTGCAATGAGAAGCCCGCACACCACAATGAAAAGTAGCCCCCGCCCGCCGCAGCTTTGAGCAAGCCCGCGCGCAGCAACAAAGACCCAACGTAGCCATAAATGAATGAATGAATGAATGAATGAATGTGTTGAGCAGACCAACTATAGTCTTGAGCACAGACTGATGTGAAAGTCAGCCCCTGAAGCCCTCAAAGGCTTACAGAAGTTGGCCCCAGGGCCATCAGACCTCGGATCCATCAGCTCCCATTTCCTGCCCTTGGAGAAGTGCCATACAAACATTCCTGAACCTCTCGCTTCACAGCATCAGCCTGGAGTGGCCACTCTCCTCGAGCCCATTACTACGCTCAGTATCCTGCGGCATCTGAAGTACCCCTACGGACCTTTAGTTTTGATCTTCTTCTTCCACTAATTTAATTTTCTGTGCAGACTTTTCTCAATAATTTTGCTATAACTCTTCGATTTTTTTTCCCTATCTCTGGTGACAATTAACTATTTCTACGACTTTATTATTTATCTTGCTTGTTAGCAATTATCTTGCACCTTAGCTTGAGATTTCTTTTTCTGGTTGTTGGATGATGATGTTGAATGAATGAGGTTTGAAAGGGCAGCAAAACTTCCTAAACCTCACGCAACCATCACTTTGAACACACTTTGGTGCCTTCCTAGCTGTCTTATCCACAGATAGACAAACTGTTTCATTTACAGAAAATTAGCCTGTGTATTTACAACTGAATAGTAGGAAAAACACCCGCTTTGCACCTCGAAAGTCATAATCTACCATATTTCTAAGATTTTACAACATGTTAATAATAAGCCTCCCACTGAGTCACAGCATTCCTTTTCTCAGAAAAGGAAAGCTTAAATGTTTCTCTTTCAGAAATGCTAGGAATTAAATATATCTGAGCATTCTCTAGCTCTCTTCCTCTTTAGAACGCATAATCCCAGGAAGAGTTCTCACAAATGGAAATTTAGTACGTGAGTGCATCCTATAATCTTGCATTTTTATTACTGATGACAAAAGTTGGTTTGTAGGCCATCTGAAAAACTATTTCTAGTCCTTCTGAAAATCTGCTAGTGCGACTTACATGTAAAATTTTCAGAAACATCTCTCTGCCTTTAGAACATCTGGGAAGCATCCCTGGCTCTAACTCCACCATTCTCTGCAGCTGACAAGGGAAACATGTGCACGTAAACTAGCTTAACATGAAAAACTGAATGAGACTAACAAACAACACATGTGCCATATTCTCTATTTCTTTCTATCTTTTGCAACAATCTTATAATGTAGGTATTGTTTGTTCCTTTTAAAAATGAGGAAACTGAAGCCCAGTTTACATACATTCTTAGGAAATGGTTGACTGGGACTTAAACCCACTGGTTCGATTACAAACACTCTCCACCATACAAGCTGCCAACAAACTCAGCCATCCTCGCTCAGTTTCTCCAGGTGTCAGTAATAACCCAGATGAGAAATCTCAAGTTATTTCAGGTACAGTATTTTGTCTCCTCCCGTTACCAGCTCTACCCCTGGCACTCACTCATCAAGGACTGCCAGTCCCTGACTACAATTCTTCTGTTACATCCACAGTTATGCTTATGCTCTGCAGTAGCTTCAGAAGTGAAATCCATGCCTTGTGTCTTCTCACATCATTATTCCACGTGAATTTCTCGTTATGCTTCTTTTTTGAGTCTAGAAACTACAATTACTTTCTGTTGCCTATCATGTCAAATACATGTTCTCTTACCAAACCTTTGTTCTCAGAACTGTTCCACACTAGGTCATCCAGCTATCTCCTCACATAAACACGTAAGTGCTTAAACATTGTCTTGGAATTAATTGTTCTCTAGATTTTATGCTGTGGCTATTTTCCACACCTGTGTCTTTCTCCCAGACGTATTTATTTTCTTTGAAGGAAGAAACCACTTTCCATTCTTGGCCCTTCCCAATCACACCCAATACAGTTCATAACCAGTAACTGTGTGCAGTTTGCAAAGGAAACTAGTGGGAAATCAAATATTGTTTTTTCTTACATCTTTATTGGAGTATAATTGCTTTACAATGGTGTGACAGTTTCTGCTTTATGACAAAGTGAATCAGTTATACATATATATATGTTCCCATATCTCTTCCCTCTTGCGTCTCCCTCCCACCCTCCCTATCCCACCCCTCTAGGTGGTCACAAAGCACCAAGCTGATCTCCCTGTGCTATGCGGCTGCTTCCCACTAGCTATCTACCTTACGTTTGGTACTGTACATATGTCCATGCCACTCTCTCGCTTTCTCACAGCTTACCCTTCCCCCTCCCCATATCCTCAAGTCCATTCTCTAGGAGGTCTTTGTCTTTATTCCTGTCTTACCCCTAGATTCTTCATGACATTTTTTTCCCCTTAAATTCCATATATATGTGTTAGCATATGGTATTTGTCTTTCTCATTCTGACTTACTTCACTCTGTATGACAGACTCTAGGTCTATCCACCTCATTACAAATAGCTCAATTTCGTCTCTTTTTATGGCTGAGTAATATTCCATTGTATATATGTGCCACATCTTCTTTATCCATTCATCCGATGATGGACACTTAGGTTGTTTCCATCTCTGGGCTATTGTAAGTAGAGCTGCAATGAACATTTTGGTACATGA